AGTCAGGCCAAGACATGATGCCCGCCAACCAGAAGGTTCTCATCTCCCAGGAGCCCAGGATGTCTCTCAGGCCTTAGACAAAACGGGGGGAAGGCCTATCAGGTGAGTTCCATCACTTTTCCTATCTATACACAGGGACAGGTGACTGCAAGAGGCTGCGCGCTCCTCGCTTAGCCTGGGAATCGCACAGTAGCCTGTGTGCATGGATTCACATGAAGCACCAGTCTGGGGGGGAGAGCCCCATGAAGCTGCCATACAGGAACCAACCGCTCCTTCTCACAAGGTTTCTGCACAGGCCTGCCTTACCCTGGACTCCATGGTGGGCCACCTTCCCACCACAAGCCACCATTAAGAAGTCTGGGGTCAGTGAAAAACACAGCAAAGCCACACACAACACAGGCTCATGACCTCACTCTTGGGGCAACATCTGCTCCCAATGAAGTTCAATGAGACAGAGAACACTGATCCCCTGCAGGGGAACCTGCTGGGGGAAGACGGTTCCAGTATAACCTCCCCAGCAAGTGGCATCTGCTGCTCACACACACTTCTCCAACACCCTCCCTCCTCTCCTCCAGCAGGCAGGGATACAATTTTTCTTTCTGGGGGATGCTTACACTGGCATGTTTGTCACAGAGGGAAGCTGAGCTGCCCCATCATTTCCCCCCCACTTCCACCCACAGGCTTCTGGTTGGCTGGCACCATCCCATGCCTGCATGAACCCAGGGCATAGGGGTAGCAAGGCTTCTCCAGGATGCCTAGGCCACAGATGGTCTTGCTTGAAGCACTTCACTGTCTGAAACAAAACTTTTTGGTGTCAGCTAACATGTTAGGGCTAAGATCATGCATACTATCTTCTGAGATAACTGACCTTCTCACTTTTCTTCACAGCTGGACCAGATGCTAGTGGGGCACATGGAACACCCCCCTTGCTATTCTCCTGATCCCACAAGACCCACTGGCAGGGGCAACCCCAAGACAACCTGGTGAAGGAACACCTGGAATGTCTTTGTTCCCTCAACAGGAACTTTTAGGAGGACTGAAAGGAGTGCCATACTGACCAGGAGCTTCACTGCACCACCTGGGAGCAGCTGTCCTGGCAGCATGAGAGCATGTGCATGGCATACACCAATGCCATCGAGCACAAGGTCACTACCATAGAGCAGTCCTTCCCAAGTCATCCCTGCACCTGCTCCTGTCCCTACTTCCCAGCTTCTCCTCTTAGCCTCCCTGGGACTGCCAAGGGCCCCACACATGAGGCAATGGGATGATCCCAGGCAGGCACCACTTCCAGCACCATCTCTGAGCCACTGCTCCCTCCTCTCTCTTCCTCCCCTCAGGTTCTTTCTCCAGTCCCTCCCCAGTTCTAGTGTCCCCAAATAAAAATCAGTTTGTTTCAAATGAAAAGACTTTTTTATTTGGTCTGCAGCAATGAAGGGAGGAGGAAAGGCACACAGGAGCTATGCAGAGGCCTCTTCTGACATGCTCCCCCAGGCCTTCCCACATCTGGTCTTGGCTGAAACTTTCCCTCCAGGTATCCCAGATATGCACAGCCTCTTTATGGGCTTGCTGGATGGCAGAGGTGCATTGTTGCTCAAAAGTCCTCTCAGGCTGCTCAGACTCTGTCCCCCACTCTGGCAGGAAAGTCTCACCCTTGTTCTCACACCAATTGTGGAGGACACATCAGGTCACCCCTATCTGGAGGATGTTCTGGTTGCTGAGGCAGGTGAGGAGGCACTGGAGCCTCCCTTTGAGGCAACCAAAGGTGCCCTCTACCATGATACAGCTCCTGCCGAGTCTGGCATTGAACTTTTCTTTGTTGGGGCCCAGGAGTCCTGTGTGGGGATTCATTAGCTAGCGGAACAAGGGGTAGGTTGTGTCTCCCACGATTCAGATAAACATTTCCATGTCCCTGACCCTGATGATGCAGTTGGGAAAAAAATGCCAGTATTCATCTTCTGGAACAGGCTGGATTTCCTGAAGATGAAAGCAGGCTCCGGTGGTCCATGATGGCCTCCAGAATCATTGAAAGGTAGCCCTTCTGATTGATTTTATCGGAGGCCTGGTGGCTGGGGACCTGGACGGGATTGTGAGTGCTGCCAATGCCCCCCTCCACCACACGGGGAAGCCCATGGATGGCCCTTGCCCCTGTAGAAGGTATAGAGAATCACAGCATTGCAGGAGGCCTCAGGAGTTTCCTGAGACCAAGCCCCTTCCCACAGCAGGAGCAACCCCAACTACCCCATTCCCAGCAGGACTTTATGAAGGCAGGACTGAAAAACCGTCAGAGGGGGCGATTATACACACACACACACACACACACACACACACCCCTTCCATTCCAGTGCTCCTCCACCCTCCTGGGACAACAGCAAGAGAGTCATACCTTCATGATCATGGCCTCAACGGTTGATCTCTTCATGCCAAACTGGTTGCTGATGGAGCTGTAGCTGTCTGGCATGGTGAGTTTCCAAATAGCTATGGCGACATGCTTCTGGAAGGGGATGGCAGGTCGCACATGGGAGTCTCGTTGCCAGAGGGCAAGGGCAAACCACTTGCACAGTTCCAGGAAGGTGCCTTTCTGTATGTGAAAGTTCTGGAGCTGCTGCTGGTCATCCTACCATTCCATGATGATCTGATCCCACCAGTTGCTACTGGTATCCTCGCACCAGAAGCACTGGTGTACAGGGACTTTGGTGCATGAGGAGCTCCTGGATGTGGGTGAGGAGATTCCCCATTCCAGGTTAGTTGTCATCCTCAAACAGTGCCACAAGTGCAGCCTGCATGAACTGTGCCAGGAGTTGCAGCAACAGGTCTAAGAGCCAGTTACTGCTTTACAGCATTTCTGTCCCCATAGTAGGGATGCTATGGCATCTGCAAGGGCAACCAGAGCATGTGGTGTTGTGTTTGCTGTCCCTTAAAGAGGTGAGCAATGGAGAAGGGAGCCCCTTTAAATGCTAGCCTCAGGCAGCAGTTCCAGGCAATGACTGCTGTCCTGATGCCCTGCCCAGATTGCTACCAGGGGACCTTAAATGTGATTGAGGCTCCAGTCAGTGTGGATGTGCTATTTCCATCTAGATCTGCACTATTTTGATGAGATTTGTAGTGTGAACCTATTATTTCAAAGTAGTGATTTCAGAAGTTGTAATCAAATTTATTTTGAAAGAATGCTGCTGTCTAGATGTGCCCTGAGAGGGGTCAGTGCCTGGGGATGTATCAATTGGTGGCTCCTGCCCTGTGCCAGGCTCAGCTGCTAGCTCCCTCTGGGTTAGGGTTGGGAGGCAGACGAGACTTTTTCATCTCATACAAGGAGCAGCTGGGGAGAAATGGAGATATCTTACATTAGAGGAAAACTAAGAAAGATATGTGCTCAAAATGAAAAGGCTGCACTTAAGATTATTCTTGGTTATACTGCTGTTAAGGGCAGGGTTTTTCAGATAACTCTAATAGCAGCTCCAGCTTGCATTCCAAATAGTGAAGGCATGGAAAGGTCATTGTCTTGGCCCCACCTTTCATAAAATTATCACCCATTCATTCATTTTTGCTTGCTCTGAAACAGTGCAGCTCCTTCATATGGGACTTTCTGCCTCAGCACAATACTTTGCTATACTTTGTAATTTGAAAGAGTAATTGCTAACACAAAATGGATTCCTTGAGGCTCCCTTCCATGGTTTTTATGGGCACTGAAGTGAGGCTGACCAGTCTGTAGGATAATGCAAGATGACCTAAGAAATGAAAGATTCAGATTTCATTGCAAATGTTCATGATTTTTCACTTCAAAATAAACATGTTCGGAATGAAAATTCTTGAAACATTCAATTTTTATTTGAAAATGGGAATTTTTCTGATGTAAACAATTTGTCTGAAAAATACAGAATTTCGGTGTGCTATGTTTATGGTGTCAACATAGTTATTGCATGAAAAATGTACGCTTTAGGAGATACAATGGATTGGAATTGGGTAATTGTTTATGCTTGGTACTAATGTCTTCATTATTTATACTTTAGTGCTTAGTGACTCTCCATTTCATTGACTGTCTCATCTGAAAACCTATCTAATCTAACTTGCTTTTTTTATAGATCTTTTTAACTTCATAGTTATATTTAACTTGATAACTTGCGGCCGTTTGTGTGAGATGTAGTGTGTACAGAGTTTACTTTATTTTGAATCGACATATTAACTGCGAAGTAGGTGCAGATCACTCTTGTGCTTCGTCTATATAGTTTTTCTTTTTCCATAAAAATGAGGGAGTAAATTCTTAGTCATTTGAGACAAAAGTGTAATTACTAATGTGTGTGTTGCATTAAATATAATCTGCTTGGCTGTCATATCAACGTTACCTGAGTCACTTCAGCATAAAAGCTAGGTGTTTAGAAACACTACTGTTGACACAAGAGTACTTAAATTGTTCATTGAGACCTACCCCTTTTCAATGTAGCTTCAAGGCATTCTGGCTTAGTTCTGAATCACTGAAGCAAAATTGGAGCATCTGGATGTGGTATCAAAATAGCCCAGGCAACCTCAGTGCAGCACCCAAGTGGATAATCTCGACATAGAACACAAACACTGCATTACTGGTTGCCGGAAGGCTACAGTTCACCTTCCTCTGAAATACAGGGCAGAAAAATTGCCCGAAAAGCTAAATGATGATACTTTTTCCTTGGTGTCTCTTACTTTTTAGACAATCACCCAAATACGTTTGTTTGGGTGGTTGTAAGGCATTTCATTCAAATCCTCTGATTCTCAGTTGGTTTAATCCATTGCTCCTCTCCCTCCAGAACAGATCAGACACTACATATTTCATTCATATGTGAACCATAAGCAAAAAATAAGTATCCTATGGATGATGGTATTTCTGGATTCCATTACTGGAAGATGGAGCATTATGTTGGTTTAAATGTTCATTAGCAATGTAATGTGTATCATATTACAGTATGTAAAGGGTCTTCATTTTTGTGGATTCTATGGAATGATATTTCCTTTCCTTTGTTTTTCTCTCATAGGTTGTCGATGAAATTTGATTCTATAGACTAAACAGCCTTAACAGTTTTCGTAAGTAAATTCTTTTCTTTCTTCCAAACAATGCAAGCTTTATACAGATGCATTTATTTTGTTTTGATTAATTTTGAAATGTTACTGAACTTCTAAAATAGTCTTTTGTACATCTTTGCAGCTTTCTAATGGGGTCAGAATTGAGTTCAGTGCCAATTTTCCTGAAAACTGGTGAATAATCAAGAGCCATGTGACCTCTGTGGCTTTAAATACCACCCTTAGGGCAGATGACTCTTGCCCCAGGCAGGAATAGTTTGTGAGACCTGGGGCTATCGGGTTGGGAAGTGTAGCTGCTAACATATCCTAAGCATTCTACCTGATAGCAGACCTCCCTCAGAATGTCACCTCTTACAGCCTTTATAAAGATAATCTGCAGTTTTACTAATGTATATAACTCGACTTCAGGAACCTATATAGAAGCTGCATCTTGCAATTTCTTTCATGTTTGCTCTTTTTTTGTGGAGGTGCATATAAGGGATGATTCTGCCCAGGATCATGTCTAAAAGTCTGCATCATCATTTTGGGCTTCAGTAATTTCTTTTGCACTCATTTTTGAATAAACACTAAAGGAATATAATTAATTGCACATTGACTTGGAACAATTGAAAAAAGAGACTGATACACACCACTGCTCTGTATTACTTATTACTATTATAAATGCAGTAGCAAATGAATTCAGGTTAGAACACTTCAAATAAGTGTGGCACTTTGTCTAACATGTCTAACTACCATTAATTTAGTTAATATTCATTGTAACTACACTGATCATAATGAATTCATTTAGCATTAATGTGAACATTATATATCCTTTTAGGAACTCCATTGTAATTCAGCAATAATTAATGTACATATTAAATGAAGTGTTACCACACAAAGCTATTACAGAGCTGTGTGTGTTCATTTTAAATGCTTTAAAACAAGTTTGATCTGATCAGTATGTTTGTTGTTCTCAGAATGCTGCAATGATACCTTCTAGATTTCCAAAAGATTTTTCATATTTGAAGCCCTCTATTAACCTTTTAAGATAGATTCCACATTTACAAGTCTATTGATCCATGTATAACTTAATCAGTAAGACAGGGCATATCATGCTATAGTGATGAATGTTGCTACTCTTTTGTTATATTGTGAGTCCAAGATGACGCAGCCAAAATCATCAAAGAAATCTAAGGAGGAACATTTGTAATATACTTTGTGTATATGAATAATAATACCTGCTGGTGCTTGGCCAGGGAAAGAAGGATATTACTGCTATCCTCTATTAAGGGGGAGTGTTATTCAATTGATAAAAAGGCCTTTGTTTTAAAAATTGAGAGACAAGGGTTCTAGTCCTACCTCCCAGTGAAAGGGTACATATGATTTGTCTAGTAATTATCCCTACTGTCTGCAGCATGTATATTGGTTACAAAATGTACCTCTTTTTTATGGTGTGGAAAGTCTTACTTCAGAACATTTTAAATATCTTATTATTAATTGTAATAGTACTGTGCCTTTCTGTGGTATTTTCTATAGGGATCTCAGAGACCTTTATAGACATTAATGTCTTAAGCTTCCTAGCATCACTGTGCAGTAATAACTGAGACTATTTCCATTAAAGAGGAAGGAACAAAGGCTCAGAGAGGCTACCTTTCCAATACATTACTGAATATATCACAAAGAATACTACACAAGAGTTTGGGCCAGGAAATGAAGAGGAATATCATATCCAACTGAAACTGCCTGAGAACTGCATACACGTCAAAAATTAATTACAGCTGGTCTCCAAGTTACAAATGGTCATTTTACAACCATTTGTACTTAAGACCAAACCTCCCATTAAGCGGTTGTAAAGGTGGTCCCTGAGTTACGAACACGATCCACACTTACTAACAGAGCAGTTGCATGTAAACGAATGGGGCCCAACTTACGAACACTTCAAGTTACAACTGAGTGTTTGGTCCGTAACTTGTTCGTAAGTCAGGGACCAGCTGTATTTCATTTCTTAAAAAAATGAAGGGCAAAAGCAGGCTAATTATGGTATCTAATAACTGGGATGTAACCTGATATTTGTTATAAATAGTCCTGTTTATGATTAGTGTATTTAGGCCCAAGGTTTTTTGTATGTATTTAGATAGGTTTGATTGTGGCTTTCAGTAATCTAAGTAGATAATTAAACCTTTAAAAGTAAATGTAGTTCAGCTGCATTTTATGCAAAAACTACTTAGAATCATTTAAAGTATAGTATCTATATGGTGGGCTAGGATGAAAGTGAGACCATAACATGTGTGAGTATTCTTCATTAGTTTCTGACTTATCAGAACTCTTGGTACTAATTTTAAGTGTCATTATGAATGTCTTCTATAATCAGGTTAAATTTTTTTGCTATAATTGACTTGTCACTTCAGTATTGGAAATGCCTTTCTCTCTGCGGCAGATGATACATCACACTTTTATTCAATTACCAACTTCCTGATTCTTTCCAAGATTGTATCTGAAGTTTTGGAATTCAAATGTAAGTTGCCCCTCCCTTCTATACATATCTAAGTGATAAGATCTAGTCTGCCTAAGAGAAGACATACCATTGATAGTCTCCAGTTGAAGGCTTATAACCATCTTTTGTAGCAGTCTGATTTAGGGTATTCTATATTTGTACTCTTTCATCTGTTGACTGCTTTTGTCAGCATTGGGTAGCCTTTTGGAACTTTTAGAGCAGATGGTAGGACTATCTGCAAGCGTTCTCTCAATAGTTCTTCTGGATTGCTGCCAATTAGGTACGTGTTCCGCTCTGCTAAGCATGGGTTCTCTGCATTGTATCATTATATGCCATTCATTTAGGATCCTCATTTTCTAATATCAGTATAATTCTTTGCTTCATTTGTCAGCCTTGACTTATGACTAGAGATGGAAAAATTTTTCAGGTGTAGCTTATTCACTGAAAAATACCTTTTCAGAAACCCTGAAACTATCTGTGAATTGGACATTCTTTCCCCCAGATTTTGGGGAGGGAGAGAGACTTAAATTCACTAAATGACTAGGGAAGGCAATGATGGCAATCTCTTTAACTTTTAGCCCCATGATAGGATATTCATTTGAATATGGGAAACCTGGAAAGTCTCCCTCTGCCTGAGGTAGAACAGAATTTTGAACTTGACTCTGTCACATGGCAGGAGAGTCCTCTAATCCATTGGGCTGGAGGACATTTTAGTGTCTGTCAATCTCGCCTATTGAAGCTGTTCTATTTTTTTTTAAATAAACTTCAGGAGGTAGCCGAGTTAATGTGTACAGGATAAACTTCAACAACAACAAATAGCCAGGTAGCACTTTATAGACTAACAAAACATGTAGATGGTATCATGAGCTTTCATGGGCACAGCCCACTTCTTCAGATAGCTGGAGTATTGAGTTTAGGCTATCCAGACCCAAAATAAATAGGGGAGAAGGGAGAGGGGAAAAGGAAAAACATGGAAGGCAGCGGGAAAGAAGAAGCAGAGGATATGTAAATATCAAAGGGAAAACCCAAAAGGTTAAACTGGTAATCTGTAAGCACCTAAATATTGGGGAGTTAAAAGAAGCAGATAAGGATCATAGGATAGCAATTAATAGAGGAAGTGTACTAGCACAGAATCTACACAGATAAAGAACTGTTGGCACCTTCATTATTTGTTTGGTTGATAATGTCCCAGACATCCATTATCTTGATTGAGGCCAGAGGTGTGAGAATTAAATTTGTGGATGAATTGTAATTCCAACCCTTTTCTGTGTATTTGTCTTGTAGAATTGGTCTGTAATAAGACAGCCTCTTGGAGATCTTTTAAAGTGTGACCAGGTTGACTGAAGTGTTCCCCAACAGGTTTCTGTATGTTCCCTTTATGGATATCTAATTTGTGTCCATTGATTCTTTCCTGTAGGACTGTCCAGTTTGTCCAATATATATTGCGGTGGGGCATTGCTGGCATTTGATGGCTTAGATCAAATTACTGGATGTGCAGTTAAATGAGCCTCTGATTTGGTAGTTTACATTGTTGGCTCCAGTAATGAATTTGATAGTATAGATATGTAGGCAGAGTTGGCACCGTGGCTGATCAGTAATTACTCATTGGAGCTTGGACTTGAACTTGACTCCCCTCCCATCTGAGGTGAGTGCCCTAACCATCAGGCAATAGTCATCCATATGCTCACTCTCTGGCCCAGTGGGTAGTCGTAGTCATCCATGAACCTTTTTTTGGAGAAGAAAGTCTTCATTTTCAACCAACTTATTTATTATATATGGTTCTTCCTGTACTTTTGAACAAGACTGTGGCTTTATTGCATATAATATGTAAGGAATAGCATATTGTGCTGTCATCTCTGTGGCAGTATGGATTCATTTTTTGAGAGAAATGTCTTGCTTGTACCTGCAATTGGAATTTTAGTCTATTACTACTTGGGGTGTTGTAGTTTCTCAAATAGTAGTGACAAACAATAGATTCATTGATGTTGGCATAATGTTTTCTAATAATTTCTAACAACTGACTTTTTTGCTGATGTCTTAAAGTCATTTCTCTGCATTTTTCTCCTCTTTCCCATTTTCTAAAAACCTTAATGGCATTTCAGGCCTCTGTTCTTGTTTCCAAATTTACTTTTCCTGACCTACCCTGTTTATTACCTTTAAACCTACAGAATTCCATCCTGAGAGAAGGATGAAATCACATCCATGAAAATGTGGTCATGTGACTCCCCAGTGAAGTCAATCTGGGTATGAGTGCACAGGTTAATCTGCCGGAGTCTGATTTCAGGATTGGGACCTAACAGTATTTTTGTATGTTTTTTATTTTGATTTAAAAGTAAGTCTTTTGATTTGCTTAGTATAACCAAATAAACTATAACAGCCCAGTTCTGGGGAGAAAAATTATTCCCAGTTGCACAATACTTATTTTTAATACAAACAATATATCTATTAAAATGAACTTGTTTTAAAGGTGTGAATGACAGTAATTGTGGCTCTGCCATAGGTACATTACAGGAGAGGCAACTGCACCAAT